TTTTAATATAATGCATTTAATTGAAACGTCATTTATCTTATAAAAATATTATTCCAATTTTATCATATTGTCATTTTGTAAACTTATCTATTGGAATTTAATTTCATTAATATTGTGTATAAACACTCAATTTATATTGTTTATTGTTTTATGGTATAATTTTTAATTGTGGTAATATTTATTTAATAAATCCGATTATTAAGTATAAACAAAATTTCATTTTGCGATATTTGAGAAACGTGTTCTTAACTTAATAACTCTTGATAAAGAATAAATAAAAATTCAATTTATTTGTTTTGTAAGCTTTAACTAATTAAATAGGTATTGTACAATTATAATCAAGTGAATAACAAAAATTTTTAAACTTGGTTTGTTTATTGTAAAATATCATAATATTATAAAATTGACAAAAACATAATATCTATTCCAAACCAAGTGTTGACTTGTACAAACAATTTTAATTATACACACGTATACATTAAACTGCACATGTGATTTTTTAATAAAATAATAATATCAACAGATTTTTCACAAAAAAATAATTTGTTGAAATTTACATTTAAAAAATGTGGATAATTTCGTTTTTTTGTTTTCACAAATACATAAAGCCAAATACGAGTTAATTTAAGCAAGATAATTATATTTCGCTTTTTCGGGCTTTCTGAGCTTTTTTCTTTTTTGAAGCAAAGTGTAAATGTTATTTCGTGTTTTTCTTTTTTTCTTGTATTTTTCAAGACAGGTTTGGCTTCTCTGTATTGTTTCACCAGCAACATCCATTGAAATTTGATTTGTATTTAATTGATCAATTGTTTCAAAATCAAACAAGACCTTTTTAATTTCAATTTGGGCTTTGTCAATACCCAGATCATTGCCTCTTTTTTGAACATTGAAAACATGCAAATTTTCTATTTGTTGGATATCCAAATCAACATAACTTTCAATTTCAAATGTGTTTTTTTCGTATCAAATCTTCCTCAATTGTTGCCAGATTAGAAAGATATTCTGAAAGTGAAATACAACAGGTATAAAAACTAATAGTCAACTGTTTGATCAATTTATTTTTTGGTAATGAACATTACGGAAACTATGATCTTTGCCTTGAATCATTTGTCTTATCGCCATAATTACAGTGTTTTCGTTTTTTGATAATACGTTTATAAGCACGTTTAATGAAGGCTTTCTGTTAGGAAGTTTCTTGACCAAATCAGAGTGAAACGATTCACTCCTGTTATCAGTTCTCGTTTCAAAATTGAATTGGCACCAATATGATATGGGGTAAACTCCGTTCATCCACATTTTTTCAAAATACACATATAACTCTGACAACATTGAACACACGTTATTTTCAAATTTAAAACTGTTGTTTAAAACCACGTTTTTCATTTTGTTAAAAATAAAGGGAATGTCTGATTCTTTAAAAAAAGGCAAAGATATCAACCATTTCATTACCATTTTTGTCTGACTGTTTTTGATGTAGTACTGTATTAAACCAAGTTTGGTGATTCTTTTCCGAATATTTTGGCACAAATGGAACAAACATCCGTGGATTTTGCATTCGAAATTGTTTAGTACTTTAAGAACTGCAGTTTCAAAATCACACATTGTATTAATGTTTTTAGTAAACAACTTTTGTTGAAATAGTTCTTCATGGATTTCATTTAATTGGTTGAACAATTTCAAATAGTCTTCACTTGTTTTTTTTCTTCATTAGGCAATAATATAATGGAAATGACTGTCCGTTTAATAGTAAGCAATGTATGGTGTACATTTGAGAAAACTCTTCTGGACACAAAGAGAATGTTCCGTCCATACAGAGATATTCAATCGATCTCCCTTTTAACAACTGAAGTTTTGTTTTATTAGAAAATATCACAAAATCTTCGTTTTCTTTATAAACAAAGTGTTCACTATTGACTATGTTTTTGATGTTAGCTTCATTGGTCTTTCTCTTAATTTCCGTCGCTTCTCTAATTAAAGTACTTTTTCTTGAATGAGTCAAACTGTTTCTGGTAAATTGTCCACGATTTTCGCCGTAGAAATTCCCAATGCTGACTGTTCTTTAACAATGTTCTTAAAAAGTAATGTAGTTTGGTGTTTTTCAAGTGCATTGTGTGGATTGTGATAATGAATTGTTTTTGTTGGATCTACAAATTCATAATTATCAAAATGAACATGTTCATCTAAAATACTTTTCTGAGTTACTTGTATTTTGACTTCACAGCCAATAGTCTTACAACGATAGATTGAACTTACATCATTCGTTGGATTAAAAACGTAATTTCCCACAACTGGAAGTTGTTTGTAAAAACCCTGTTTTGTTGGTTTTTGGCTTTGGATTTGAAAAATTACTGGTTTTTTTTCTTCCATGATAATACCAGTTAAGATCATTTTTGTTTTATTTTACTTGAAATGAAATAACGAAACTGGTTGGTTGTTTAAAAATAAATTCATTTTATGTTTTATCTATTTTTACAAAGTTGAATTCAATAAAACTTTTGTTGAAATAAATATTTTTTCCAAATTATTTTTTCCGTACACCCACAAAATAAGCCTTAAAAAATAGGAATTAAAAAAAAGATGGGAAACTAAATAAAATTAATAATAGTATTTTTGGAGATTTTTCAACAGTTTTCAGTAATATTACATTTTTAATGGTCCAAATTTTTATTATTATCGTTTTAAGACTGATAATATAATTACAGATACGAGTCTAAAGTTTCGACGAATAATAAGGTTTCGTTTTATTATTTGAATACTATTTGAATAATAATGAACAAGGTTTTTAATTATTTTTAAAAAAGTTCAAATATAACTCTTATAAATAATTTTTACATTGGTATAAAAATTATTAATTATTAGTCGAAACCTTCGTACCACATTTGTATTATCAATCAAAAAATATTATTAATTATAGTATTTTTTTAAATAAAATAAAAAAACAGTTATTAAATATTAAAACCATTTTAACACAAACATAAAATTATTAGATTAAATAAGTTAAAAAATACAAAAGAAGTCTTATTCCATATTAGATTTTGTTTCTTATACATTAAAAAATATAGTTATTTTTATTTGATTTCAATAAATTATTCAGGTTCGAGAAGATACAACCTGTTTGTATGTTTTGATTTTGATTGGTCAG